TCTCACTGCCCCTGAGCCTCTGGCCTGTACCCCAGTTCTGTATGCACAAATAAATAAATCTTTATAAAAAAAAAAAAAAAAGGCCCTCCCTGGTGATGCAGTGGGTTAGAGCATTGCACTATGTAACTATCCAAAGCCACTGTAGTATGAGTTTGATACCCAGCCAGGGAGGTGTCCCACATGGTACAGCAGACCTCTCTTGTCTTGCCTACTGCTCCCCTCAGCAGTGTATTTCAGTATATCTGCCTGTTGTGCTTCTTCTCATTCTTCTCTCTGGTGAATCCTCTCACCTCCCACACCTCTGGACTGTACCCTAGTTCTTGTATGCACAAATACATCTTAAAAAAAAAGAAAAAGACTTTTAAAAATTGTCCTTACCTGGGATTTCTGAATCCTGAACCAATCCATCTCAAGGCAGGCAAGATAATGAAACTCAGGAGCATTTGTAAAATGGGAGAGGAAGCAGTAATAATAGTGAAATTAAAGAAACAAATAGAAAAATGGAGAAGATACCTGGCATTTGCCAGCCTGGTTTCAATTGTTTCTGCATCCCTTCCTAAGGTTTGGAAGTTCAGAACTTTATTTTTTTTCCAGCAAATCCAGCTCCCCTTTAAAAAGGTACTACACTCTTTCATTGGGTTTTTAGCACTTGTAATACAGTTATGTAGTTTGCCCTAGGGCTTTCCAGGTAATTTGACGACATTTCCCATTTGTTCAACCTCTTGCTCTCCAGATACTCTGTATCTTCTCTCCAACCTCACTTTCCCATATGATCTGCTTATAGCAATAGCAGCGCTAAGGTTATAAAACATGAAGATAAAGGTTAAGCCCAAGACACAAGGGGCATAGTTAAATAAACCTGGTTGCACCTGTCTTGCCCTAAGTCCATTTTCTTTACCTTCCTTACTAAACAAACCATCCTATCCTGCTAACCTGCCTCCTCACTTAGCCACTGGACTCCATTTCTTCTCTCCTCTCTGTAGACTTTGCTCCTGCAGTATTCCTCCATCCAATATGTACATTTCAGAACATGCAAAAGTACATGTACCTTTTTTTCAGAACTTCTCTAACCCCCACGTAGACTATCTCTCCATAGTTCTCCATACAACCTTTTACAACCAATCCTTATATAGCTACATACTAATCCCAGACCCATCATCCCTTCAGTTTCTCTCAAACTCATTCCCACCTTAGGGTTGACAGGCTGTATCCTCTTGCTCCTCAAGGTGTTCAGTCTCTTAGTCATCATTAAGGCCTTCTTGGCAGAAGCCTCTTACCAACCAAGCTCAAGTAATCCTTTTAGTCATTTAACTGTTAGGGTTTTCTTTTCTTCATGCACTCGTCACTACTGTAAATTGTCTTATTTGTTCTCTTTATTCTCTCCCTTTATTAGACTGTCAGCTCCCTAACAGAAAGTCTTGTTAGCCTTGTCCGTCCTTGTATCCTTTGAACCTGTTTTCTTTCTTTTTTTAATAATACTCTTTTTAAAATATTTATTTTATTTATTTATGCATACAAAAACTGGGATCCAGGCCAAAGGGGCAGGGGTGGTGGTGGTGAAGGATTCACCAGAGACAGAGTGGGGAACAGAACAGGTGGATCTACTGAAATACACTGCTGAGGGGAGCAGCAGTGGCAAGAGAGGTCTGTCACATCCACAACATTGCCTTGCATGATTACATCGTCATCGTGGTCCATCAGAAGTCTGAAATAGCAACCCAGACCAAGACTCAGACAAGTCGCTCATCCAGAGGAAGCCTAAGTGTCCTCAGCAACAGAATTTCCATGCACGTTAGCCCACATCCTGGAATAGCAGTACTGTACTAGGGCTGTGGTTCCTTCAGCAAGAGTGATGTTAGGAGATCAATATTGAAAGCTGCGCTTAGTCTGGATATCATCAAGTATCTGCTGTAGTTCCTCATCTTCAAATCGCCCCTCCAGACTAGAAGAAAACCAAGAGTGTTTCAGCCATGAATAAAATTTCCCCACCTTTAAATTTACCCCTTACTCACTGACCCCTTACCTGTCAACTCACCTTCTTCCCCTTCCTTTTAAAAATATTAGCTTTTCAAACATATAAAGGTACAGAAAAATAACTTAACCTTCACAAGTATCACTATTTGATTTAGGTTTACTTACCCAACATAACAGGAATTGACAGCTCTGTGTAAACAGATGTTCCTCTATCCAAATACCTTCACCTTCTTCTGAGAAGTAACTATTTTCCTTAAGTTAGCATTATTTCTACATACTTTTTTTAGCATATACATTTATAAGCAATATGCAGCACTCTTATAAACTTTTAAAAAATTAATTATTTTGGCCTTTTTTTTTTTAACATTCCAGCTCATCACTTTTTTTTTTTTAAGATTTATTTATTTATTAAGCGTATAGAACTGGTACAGGCCAGAGGTGCAGAGGCAGTGAGAGGATTCATCAAGATAGAGTGAGGAGCAGAACAGGCAGATCTACTGAAATACACTGCTGAAGGGAGCAGCGGGCATGTCAGAAGAGGTCTGCCACGCTCCCTGGCTGGGGATGGAACCCATGCTTCAGTGGCTGTAGAGAGCTTCATTGTGCAGTGTTTTAAGCCGTTGCCCCACCAGGGAGAGCCCTCATCACTTTCTTAACTGCTATGTAATAAATAGTGTATGATCATTCTGTTATCTGACAATTGTCAAGTTTCTGCTACAACTACTAACGCAGCATGGAATACATGTCTCCTTACAATCCTGTGTGAGTAGTTCCCAGGGCAGGTACCTAGGAGTGCACTTTCAGGTGACACAGTATATTCATCTTTAACTTTGCTAGATGTAGCCAAATTTAGCTTTAAAGTGACTGTACTAATTGCACAATGAATGAAAGTTTTGGCCAATCCACATTTTTGTTAACAATAGACATGCTATAAAACCACATTCTCAAGTTCTTAAAAAAAAGTACTCTCATTCAATGGTGATGACATCTATTCAAGTAAAGACAAATAAATTTTGAAGGATCTTATCCAAAACATATAGAGGACTTATCAAAACTGTTACTAACCTTGGGATCAGAGCCTTGGACTCCTCAGCAGTCTCTGGGCAAAGGTTGGCCAAGCAGGCCAACTCAAACTTATGAAGTTTTTTCTGGAGCAACAAACTGATCACAGGAGAGAAAGTTAAAACAATCAAAACAGAAAAATGGATCAAGTATAGATAGCAAAAAGAAAAAGTAAAGGACTTGCAATCTCTACTCCTAGCAAACAGGAAGTTACAAAGATATCAGGGACAACAGGGCATCCCTGGTGATGCAAGGGGTTAAGTCTTCGCAGTATCAAGCTATCCACAGTCACTGCAGCATAAGTTCAATCCCTGCCAGGAAGATGATCTACATGGCACAGCAGACTTCTCCTGTCTCGCCCTACTTCCTCAGCAGTGTATTTCACTCAATTTGCCTGTTCTACTCCCCATTGTGTCTAGTGAATCCTCTCACACTCCCCACACCTCTGGCCTATACCCCAACTCTTATATGTACAAATAAATCTTAAAAAAAAAAAAAAAAAGAAGAAAGAAAGAAATCAGGGAGAAACAATGTAATATAAATGAAGACAGAACACACTAGGAGGCCAGAGAGCCCCTCTGCCCTAACTCTGAAAAAATAACTATACACCTTAAGGATGATACAGTCTTCCCCCAAGGAATTGTTTTGTTCTTTGCTTTTCCTATTAGCCTTCCTTGCTTCCTTTGCAATTAATGTATTCACACACACAATGTTAGGAGCTCCCAACCTATTAGTTATTTAACTTGAAGAAATTCTCTTTTAAGTATTATCTAAAAAATAAGCACATTGGTCCTCACTGGTGGCACAGGGGTGAAAGTATCAGTACTATCAAACTACCAACAGCCACTGTATTATGAGTTCAATCCTTGGCCAAATAGCTAACCATAATATGGCGCATAAGCTGAAGGGACCTCTCCTGTCATGCTCGCTGCTCCCTTCAGCAGTGTATTTCCATGAATCTGCCTTTCTGTTTCCCACTATGTCTCTGGTGAATCCTTTAACCCCCTGCATCTCTGTCCTACACCCGTTTTTTTATGCATAAATAAATGAAAACAGGGCCTCCCTGGTGGTGCAAGGGATTAAGCACATCACTTTAAAGCTATCGCAACCACCACAGCACGAATTCAATCCTAGGCCAGGAAGCTGATTCACATGGCACAGCAGACCTCTCCTGTCTGGCCTACTCCCCTCAGCAGTGTATTTCAATTGACATGCCTGTTTTTTCCCCATTCTGTCTCCAGTGAATCCTCTTACTCCTTACACCTCTGGCCTGTACCCCAGTTCTTGTATGCATAAATAAATAAATAAATAAGTCTTTAAAAAATAATAAAAAAATAATTCCTATCATGAACAAATTCTATGTTCAGGCGCATACTTCTTAAACTAGAGATTGTTCATGGTCAATTTGGTATGAGAGGAACTTAATTTTATATTCATTTACAGTGCTTATCACTCTAAGCATATTATTCACTGTAAAATGTTTAGAAAATACAGAAAGAAATAATAGCTACCCACATCACTACCAAAAAAAAAAAAATTAATGCTACCATCTTAGAATCTATCCCAAATATTTTTCTGTTTTAGGACATAAACACACATTCTGTTTTTTAAGTTTTTGTTACTTCCCAAAACATTTTTCCATTTTTATTATAAAATACTATAATCTCAGTACACTGAAAGAGCTTATAACACAAAATACTTATGTGCTGGAGGGATCTGTGATAAAATGAACACATACTCATTTACAAACAGTACAAAAAATAGCAAGAAGGTGAAATAACCTAAAATTCTATCCAGAAATAAGCAATGTCAACATTTTCAGGAAGAGCCTGGCCTTCTTTTCATTAATTTTTAAAAGCAATCGTAACAAATGATATTTTGTAACTGGCCTTTTTTTCATTCAACAACAGAGTAGCTGTTTTCCATGCTGGTACACAAAGAGCTCTGTGCGGAACACAGCATTTTGTTTGGCTGTGATATCACTTATAATCAAACTTATGCTGCTAAACATTGTATTTGTTTCCAAACATTTACCATTTAAATATAATATTTTTTTGAATATCACTGTAAATGCACTTTTTTGTTTGTTTTAAATATTTGTTTTATTTATTTATGCATACAAGTACTGGGGTATAGGCCAGATGTGCAAGGGATGATGGAATTCACCAGAGGCAGAACAGGGAGCAGAAGTGGCAGATCTACTGAAAGACACTGCTCAGAGAAGCAGCAGGTGAGACAAGGAAAGTCTGATGCGCCATGTAAATGAGCTCCCTAGCCTGCTGTGTAGTGCAGATATAGCTTGATAACGGTGTCTTAATGCCTGCACCAGTAGTGAGGCCCCGAAATGCAATTCATTGCTATGTTTCAAAGGTAGAAATTCCTGGAAGTAGACTTATTTAGTAAAAAGATGTAAGTGTCTTGAAGTCTTCTGATAGGCAGTACCCTAAAAGGTCTTTTCCAACATACCTTCCACCAGCATTAAAATAAATGATAGTGCAGGTTCCCCTTTTTTTTTCTAATCTACTTATTTTACCATTTCTTTCACTTCCTTGAAGACATTTATTTCATGTGAAATAGCTAGACATTTCAAGTTCTGATGTGCGTTCATTAGAGACAAATCCATTTTTTAAAAACTGGATGCCATCTCTGCAGAAAGTCTTTCCTGTTTCGCAGTTGCTCCCCTTAGTAGTAACAGGAAATCCACTTGTTCTGCTCCCATCTCACCTGAAGAATCCTCTCACCTCCTCCACCTCTAACCTATACCCTAGTTCTTCTAGCATAAACAAACTTAAAAAAAAACAAAACAAAACCGGATGCCATCTCTTTCTTATTCTTTTTAAAGACTTTGTTTATTTATGCATACAGAGCTAGGGTACAGGCCAGAGGTGCAGGGGCAGTAAGAGGATTCATCAGAGACAGAGTGGGAAAGGGGTGGGCAGAACAGGCAAGTGAATGAAGTACACTGCTGAGGAGAGCAGAGGGTGAGACAGGAGAGGTCTGCCACACCATGTGGATCAACTTCCAGGGCAAGGGTCTGAACTTGCACTGAAGCTGCTGAGGCTAGCTTGCAGGACTGAGCTTTAACCCACTGTGCCACCAAGGTGAAACCCGCTTTTTTATTTTTTAGAGCTCTTAAAATTAAGGGTATCGCCACCTCACCCCAGTGAGAATGGCACATCTTCAAACAACTAGCAACAACAAATGTTGGCGAGGATGTGGAGAAAAAGGAACTCTCCTGCATTGCTGGTGG